TTTTTTTTTTTGTGTCTGTTACCACTTTTTCTCAGCTCTCACCGAACCGATTTCTTTCAACGATACGTCAAAAGATCACAAATCGTATCTAGTCGAAAACATTACCCTTCAAAATTGAAAAAATTTCCCTGGTTCCCCGTAAATAGGGGAAACCTCCAAAAAAATTACAAATTTAAAAATCGCTCATTTTCGAAATTTTTTCAATTTTTTTTACTAAAAACTGCCGTAACTTTTTCAAAAATGGACATATCAATACAATTTTTTTTTATGTAGATGCTTGATGTCTTTACCTATTATTTGGTATATTTTTTTTGTAAATTTGACCTTTTTTCTGCCCACAGGGGGGGATTTAAAATGACAACTTTTTCACAAAAAATTAACTTTTTCAACATAACTTTTGAAAATGTTCCGGAAGGTCTGACACTTTTATATATATCTTAAATTAAAGCTAATGTAATGTACTTTAATTTGAAAAAAAAAATTTGACCTCTGGACTTGTCTTCATGGTGAAAATGGCTACCGAATGCTATTTTTGTGTGAAAATTTTCGATTTTATAGTTGACATTTTTTACTTTAAAGTGCTATAACTTTTCAAAAAATGTATGGATCAATACAATTTTTGCATGAGAAGTAGTATTTATATTCATCTTTCATTGGACATACTTTTTTTAAATCAGACCATTTCCCTATATACGGGGAGGCTTCAAATATAAAAAATGCATATATAAAGTAGAACTTTTTCAACTTAACTTTAGAAAATGTTCCGAAAGTCTGACACTTTTATAAATATCTTAAATTAAAGCTAATGTAATATACTTCAATTTGAAAAAAAAAATTTGACCTCTGGACTTGTCTTCACGGCGAAAATGGCTACCGAATGCTATTTTCGTGTGAAAATTCTCGATTTTATTATTTATATTATATTTAACTTTATAATGCTATGACTTATTGAAAAGTTTATGGATCCACACAATTTTTTTATGAGAAATAATATTTTTTAATAAACCCTTTTTCATTCGACATACTTTATCTTAATCAAGATATTAATAAGGAGCTAGCAGATCATGTAGCTTTTGGAATAATACACCAATTTTTTTTAATTAAACACAATCTAAAGGTTTGCATCGAAGCATTTATTTTTGATAGTGATTTTAATCACTGTCAGATATCATTATACTTGATCCAACTATGCCACGTCACCACTGTGCCGCGATCCCCCTGTGCTGGGTTTTTTTTTTTTTAATGTATTTCCTAATATATTTATACATTTAGATGATATCCTTTAAAAGTATTCCAAATACATTAATATTTTTAAACATAATCCATAATTTGTCATTAGGCGATCAAACATAAATTACAAATCAAGTCAAGTAAATCTATAATAGAAGGCGGGGCATCACCGCAAGAAGAAGATAAAGCAAGAATGTTATTTGGAAACAAATTAATTGTATGTATATTTTTTTAAGTAAATAAAATAATATATTTATTAATACATAATTTTAATTTGTGTTTTAGCAAAATGAACATAGGAGTTCAAAGCGTGGCATTTTAAAATTTTCTAAATAATTGATTCACACAAAAATTTTATTTATTTTATTTTTTTGTGTAAAATATAAAGTGTATTAACGTAACATCTTTATTTATTTATCATATATATTTAGTAAACTATAATTTTTTTCATAAATGGTTTTATATCTGGACGAGAGAAGTAGTGCGGCTCTTAAATGCCTTGAGATAAAAATATATAGACTTGAAGACTCGTTTCCAAATATTATATAGTGTTAATACTTCCAAAGTTAATGTTAATTGTTAATGACCGGTCATATCTTAATTAGATCATTTCTTATCTTTAAGCTAATTTTACATACAGAATAATTTATCGTTGACCATTATATTTCTTCTAAAATAATAGTAAAGTAGGGTAATATTGGGAATCCTGCCCCTCGCCTCATTCCTTCACCCTCCCAACTGTATTGCGGGTGGGCGTTGTCGGAGGGCGTGTCATACAATGGGCGTGGTTTCTCGATGATGGGGCTAAAAGGTAACTTAGGTAGGGGTGTTAAGGTCAATCAAATTGGCGGATTAAAGTGCGCGTGCACACTATAACTTCATATCAGTGGTGAGGGGAGGTAGCCATTCGGAAATGGTTGTCTCTTCCAACGATGTCATCTACTGGAGGGTAAGGTAAACCTCATGTGAACTGATAACGGTAACTGATAAACGTACGTGTAAACATACACATTACATTGAAATAGTGTACGTCAAATAGTGGCCGCCGTTGCCACTATAACATATTTACTTAATATTAACGATACAAGGTCTTCGTCAACAATTCCTAAAGAGGGAGGGGGTAACGAAACATAACATAAACTAACCTATAATGGGTGGGGATGAATCCAACTTAAATTAATAACGTTTTCTATGAATGCCTACCAGACGCTTAGGTAAGCATATTTCCGACATTAGTACTATATTATAACGCTCATAGGCGTCAGCATTTTATGAGAACAATGAAAACGTCTGTCGTTATTGCATTATAATTTCTAAGAATTTTATCATTGGTTACCAGACGCTTAGCTAAGCATATTTCCAACACCAAAGGTACCGCCATATTATAACCCTCATTACCGTCTACATTTTATAAAAAGAAAGACAACGTCTGTCGTTATGGCATAATAAATTCTAAGAATTTTATCATCGTCTACCAGACGCTTAGGTAAGCATATTTCCAACATCAAAGGTACCGCTATATTATAATGTTCATAGGCGTCTGCATTTTTTTATTTTTAAAATAATAATATGTGTGTCGCATTTTATTTTATTATATTTTATTTGACAATTTTTATACCTATAACTAGAGGTATTACATTTAAAGTCGCTCCCCCACTACCAGCACCCACGAGTCTTCACTGCGTTTAACATTAAATGTAAACATTACATTGAAATAGTGTACGTTAAGTAGCGACCGCCGCCACCACATTTGACTATTTCTTGAACGATTTGTAACAAACTCTATTAAGACAATTGGGTGTGAGGTGCGCACAATGTGTGAAACCCAATGAAAACTAAGTCGGGGGAGGGGGATTTCCTCAACATGTAGTAATGAGCGAAGGGGTAATAAAACATAACTTAAACTAATCTAATGGGAGAGGTACGTATGAAACCCGACGTAAACAAACTTGCCGCACATCTATAGATTGTATATAATAAATAATTTCTAAAAAGTTTATCATTGGCTACCAGACACTTAGGTAAGCATATTTTAAACATCAAAGATGTCGCCGTACAGTAATAATCACTGTTGTATGCATGCATTTTTTACATAGTATTTTATCGTTGGTTATCAGATGCTTAGGTCAGCATATTCCAGACATCAAATGTATTACTATATTATAACGTTCATAGACGCCAGCATTTTATGAGAACAAAAACAACGTCTGTCGTTATGGCATTATAATTTCTAAGAATGTTATCATCGGTTACTAGAAGCTTAGGTCAGCATATTTCAAACATCAAAGAGGTTACCGCACAGTAATGATTATTGTCGTATGAATCTTATCATCGGATGCCAGACGCTTAATAAATTATTTATTTATTTTTTATTAAAGCTACCTCATTTACATCTGCTTGGTCACGTCAGGCGGCTAAGCGTAATAGGGCCAACAACAGCGCGGTTAGGTTGAAAAGGTTACGTATGCAATAGACGGATACCCGTGATTTCACCAATATCGATTCATCGCATTGGAGCGGGGGGCCGTTTGGTTTTACCGGAAGAACGTGGAAAATTTCGCGAGCTATCGTGATTTTCTGCGCGCCGTTAAACCCGAGCTGGTGGCCAGACTCACTGAAATCGTAGGTAACCGTCCGATCAAGTATAATATCAAATTGGAGGCCTCATACCATATACCGCGATCAGAAGCACCGTCTGAAGACCGTGCCTTCAAGACACGAGCTAGGGCATTGCTATCCGATACGGATATCGGGTGTGCGGTCGATGAAGATTTTGAGGTTATGCTTGCCGAGGAAGACGCGTACTCGGGTAGGGGTAGCGGATTCACGCTAACGCATATCGACGGCCTAATGCTCAGCGTATACAAATATACGCCCCANTGCTCAGCGTATACAAGTATACGCCCCTCGCCGGCTCATCATATATTCCGATTCCGCCTGAAATTAATAATAGAAAAGCAATCATCAACCCACAAAACATCGATCAGTCTTGTTTCAAGTGGTCTATTTTAGCGAGGCACGTTGGGGTTAATAATAATACACGAGTTAATCAAAAATATTTTAATGAGGAACACAGGTATGATTTCACGGGGTTGACGTTCCCCACACCCGTGTCCCAAATAATAATATTTGAACGACGAATCCCTAACGTGTCTGTCAATGTGTACGGCTTGGAACGAGACGACGTTAAGATGAAGTGGCTGGTGTATCCTCTAAGAGTCGTNGAAGTGGTTGGTGTATCCTCTAAGAGTCGCCGACCAAGAGCAACAGAATCATTTTGACCTGTTGTACATCGGTGACTCTGAAAAATCACATTACGCGTACATTTCCGATTTTTCGAGGCTCGTGCGCAGCCAAAAAACTAATCACAAATGCCGCATATACACTTGCAAACGTTGCTTCACCAGCTTTGATGATATGCCTAAAAAGCATATTCTTCGGGGACAACAAACGTTGGAGCAACACAAGTTGATGTGCGGCAAGAACAAGCCTATTTTACCTGTTATGTCGACAGAGGGCAGTAAGGTTGAATTTGACTCGTTGGTAAAGACACAACGGTTACCGTATGTCATATACGCAGATTTTAAGGCCTTACTGGAGAAAACAGACGATCGTATGGGTGCATACACCAGGACTGTGCACACCCACCATCCCATGAGATACGGGTTCATGGTGAAAACATCGGACGATGTGTCCTCCGAGATCCTCGAACGCTATGATATAGCAAAGAGGTCGCCAAGGCATTTGTGATGGCTGTAACTGAAGTGACGCGCAACAATTCTAAATTGTTGCGCAAAACCAACGTCCCCATCCGAATGTCTGTCGATGATGTGCACAGGCACGGGGAGAAAGTGGTATGCGACTTGTGCCGCACGGCATTCAAGGATTCCAACCCCAAAGTCGCAGACCATTGCCATTTATCAGGCCGATTCAGACAGACGTTGTGCAATGCATGTAACCTGAAAGTGAAGACGGTCAACTTTGTGCCGTGCTTCTTGCACAATCTTTCAGGTTACGACGCGCATTTCATCGTCACTGAATTGGGGTACGACGATCAAAGGATTTCGGTCATACCGAATTCCGAGGAGAAGTTTATTTCGGTCAGGAAACACGTGACCAATAACTTCTCCATACGGTTCGTCGATACCTTCCGATTCATGGCCTCCTCCCTGTCCTCCATGGCCGGTAACCTAATGACGCCCGACTTTGTTAAATTCCGGGAGATGGCCAAGGTGTTCCGCTCGGAAGACATGCCGTTGGTGACGCGTAAGGGAGTATACCCCTACGAGTACACTGATAGTTGGGCTAAATTGGAAGAAACGGAACTACCACCTCAGGACGCTTTCTATAGTCAGTTGAGTGAGTCTAATATTGATGACGACGACTATAGACATGCCACGGAGGTGTGGAACCATTTCGACTGCTCAACCCTCGGTGAGTACAGCGACCTATATCTTAAGATCGACGTGTTGTTGTTGGCTGGTGTGTTTGAGAACTTCCGCGACATCTGTATTTCAACATACAATTTGGACCCGGCGCAGTATTACACCGCGCCTGGTTTTAGCTTCGATTGTATGTTGAAGTACACCAGGGTGAAGCTGGAGCTCTTGAACGACTACGACATGCTACTGATGGTGGAACAGGGCATTCGTGGTGGGCTAGTGCAGGCCGTCAAGCACTATGCAAAGGCCAACAATTCTAAGACACCCGATTACGATCCGTCAAAACCAGAATCATGGATCGTGTACCAAGACTGTAAGTAATCTATACGTATATATATAAACGCGCAATATTTGAGCGGTGGTTTAATAACGTTTAATGTTTACAGGCAATAACCTTTACGGGTGGGCTATGAGTCAGCCCATGCCGTACGGTGGCTTCCGGTGGTATAAAGGAGCAGACCCTCTGGCTGACCTCCAATCGTTGTCGGACACTGGTAATACGGGGCGTATATATGAAGTGGACGTATCGTATCCACAAGAGCTGCATGACGAGCACAACGACTTGCCGTTCTTGCCTGTCAACGATGTACCGCCGGGTTCCAAAGAGACCAAACTCATGGCCACTTTGAAACCCAAACAGCGGTACGTCGTACATTACGTTAATCTTAAACAGGCGATCGCACACGGACTGCAAGTCGATAAAGTATGTATAGTTAACCTATAAACTATAAGCGATGATAATAATATAAATATTTGTACTGCAGGTGCACCGCGTTTTAGAGTTTCAACAAAGTGCTTGGTTGAAACCGTATATTGAGTTGAACACTGAAATGCGGAAACAGGCGGTAAATGCTGTTGAAATAGCGTTTTTCAAATTAATGAATAATGCCGTCTTTAGTAAGTGCATGCTCAATGCTAAAGCAGCTGTAGGTTATACCAAATTCATGGCCACTTTGAAACCCAAACAGCGATACGTCGTACACTATGCCAACTTAAAACAGGCAATCGCACACAGACTGCAAGTCGATAAAGTATGTATAATTAACCTATAAACTATAAGCGATGATACTAATATAAATATTTGTACTGCAGGTGCACCGCGTTTTAGAGTTTCAACAAAGTGCTTGGTTGAAACCATACATTGAGTTGAACACTGAAATGCGGAAAAAGGCGGCAAATGCTTTTGAAATAGCATTTTTCAAACTGATGAATAATGCCGTCTTTGGTAAGTGCATTCTCAATGCTAAGGTGGGTTATTCGATAATTTTTTACATTTTATAGGGAAAACAATGGAGAACATGCGGAAGCGAATCCGNGGAAAACAATGGAGAACATGCGGAAACGCATCCGTATTGAGCTAATCTCCAGTCCCGAACGTCTAAGCAAGCTCGTAAACCAACCAACCTTCAACGACTGTATCAAATACGGTGAAAGGTTGTGCGCCGTCATAATGGACACAAAGATGGTCAAGTTTATCAAACCAATATACGTCGGTTTAGCAGTGCTTAACATTAGCAAGACGCTTATGTACAAGTACTTCTACGACGTATTGAAACCACATTATGGCAGTGCAATCGAATTGGTTTACATGGATACTGGTGAGTACAACCGTACAGTAGAAATATTTTTTTACAATATTTATATATTTTTTATTTTTCTCAGACTCCTTCATATACCTACTCAGAGTAGGCGACTTCTACTAGGATTTAGCTGATAGCCCCGATTTACTGGTGCACATGGACGCATCTAGCCTGCCCAAGGATCACCCTTGCTACTCCACCGATAGAAAGATGATGCCCGGCTTGTTTTCAGACGAANAGAAGATGCCCGGCTTGTTTTCAGACGAGACCAGTGGCCTCACTCTCTTTGAGATCGCTGCACTTCGATCAAAGTGCTACGCATTTGACATGGAAGGCAGCGAACTCATAAAGTCTAAGGGGATCCGCGGACACGTCGTCCGGAATCATCTGTCTTTAAACGACAACAAACGGTGTTTGTTCAAAGACGATGATGATGGTGACGATGCGTCAACAAAACGAGCATTGGCTGGAGAGAATGCCCGTGCGGTCATCGGAATGATACGTGGTGCTGAGTGTCCACCGACATTATCGCTACCATACACTCCGTACCGACAGAATATGTTAATCCGTTCGTTTGAGCACGAGGTACGCACTTTACGTACAACCAAGTTGGCGCTTAACCGTTTTGATGATAAGCGCTACACGCTCAACAACAGAATCGACATTCTTATCATTGTAAAAAATATATCGTCAAGAATTGAAAATTTTTTTTGTAAATATACATGTATATAAGTAGTTTTAAAACATTTTTTTAATGTAACATAATGTAGTAAGAAATTGTATTTTTTCTAAAAAAATATATGTATATGCGTGTACATATCTGTAAATATATATATATAGTACAATAGTAGATGTCACATTTTGTNAAACTATAGTTACGTAATGAGATGTCACATTTTAATGGTAAAGTATTATTCACCAAAACTCTAAGAATACCCTACTGTATTTTACATGCATATGATATCGTACAGCTAGGTTTTTGAGCATGTTTTAACCTTTCTGAAGAATTAAAAAGAATAAAAATGATTTGAGTTTTATAGAAACATAGTTTTTTTTCATATGATGTTATTAGAGAAATAAAATCCTAGATAATAATCATTATTTTAAACATTATTCTTTAAACATATTTATAGTCTTTGTATCCATTATAATTTTAATAACAAGTTACGTTAAAAACGAGATTTTCACTATGTCTCAGTATATAATAATAACAGCACTATTTTGTCAATGCAACATACGTTTATTTTAAACAATTTTTTTTTTTTTTATATAAATTAAAAANTTATATACATGTTTTAGATACTTGTCGACAGATAGCTATTACTAACAACTACTGTTGGTATTTCTTGGTTATTTGTATTTGATGGTATGATTGGTTCCGACTGTATATCATCGGCCAGCGACCCAAAAAATGTCGAGCATACGTTTTCTCCGTTAGAAGACTGAAAAAAATTATTTATATTTATTAATTACGTTCTACTCAGTTAGCAAAAAAAAAAAAAATGTAATTCACCATTGCTTTTGTATATTTNTGTAATTCACCATTTCTTTAGTATATTCTTCCAGCATCGTCCACCGTTGTTCCAACTGCTGGCTCGCAAATTGTTTTATTTGGCTTATGTAGCTCAGATCGCTATTGGGTAAACTGTTTCTAATCGTATAATCCGAAACCGCATTGATCAACATACATTTGTTTTCCACATTTACTGAGATTTCATACNAATTGTTTTATTTGGCTTATGTAGCTCAGATCGCTATTGGGTAAACTATTTCTAATCGTATAATCCGAAACCGCATTGATCAACATACATTTGTTTTCCACATTTACTTCATACTGAGATTTCATATATTGAGCCATCTGTTCCAACTGTTGTAGAACCAATGGTTGAATTACAGTCATCTTTTGATTGATAGTCTCAAAGATACAACATTCCAAAGCGCTGAGTTTTAAAATGTCTGATTGGGTGAGTAACACTCGGCATTCATCTTGTGCTTGTGATTCAAAGACTAGCGAAGACTCTCCTTGAAACGTAGTCTTTGAGAGTGTGACGTATTCATCCTTAAGTAAAATAACNTGAGAGTGTGACGTATTCATCCTTGAGTAAAATAATCTTTTGTCTTGATACAGGGTCGAAAATTAGCGACAGAATATTACCCATCAACGTATAAATCCGTTGTAGGAAATCTATCGTTATAAGTATGTAACGGGTTGACGATAGTAAACGAATAGTTACGTTAAATCGATCTTTTGGATCCAATCCTATCTGAACGAATTTACGAGGATTGAAATTCAAAACGTAATCAGTGCAATCGATTAATTCACTGTGAGGTTGGGGTTTAGCAAATGTTTGTTTGTTATAGAATTTGGCAATTGTAGCGAGAGAACCAGCCATTCTTAAAGTATACAAATATCGACTTAACACATTACCAACAAGTTAAAGTAACGTCTGTTTATATAGAAAATCTTATAACGATTATAGCGCTATAAATACACCACGGTGTAANACGATTAGAGCGCTATGCTTACACCACGGTGAAGTTATTAACTAATTTAAACCCAATAGTAATTAATAGTCTAATTTTCGCCGTTAGATATGATACAAACAGTTGTAAACACAAGCAGACGGGGTTCAAACAGGATGAACAGAGATTTGAACAAGTTCAGACAGGTTTTAACATGTTCAGACTTGTTGAATCGAGATTATACGATTCCAGGATACGCTGTTCGGTAAACCGACACAGTGTCCCTACTACTTTTATAAACAGCCTACTACATACGATACATAGTACGACCTGCTACAAATACCATAGCGTATACTAAATTTGCTGTATATATTTAATGTGTAAAACTCTTCTTTGTACTGCTTAGTGCTACAGACTTATATTTAATATTCATTATACACAAATGCATAAAGTGTAAATAAATACGATAAAATTGTATAAAATAAAAAAAAATAGTATATTTTATTGAATTTTTAATCTTACAAGTTTATGATAATAAGTTTTTTTTATTTTATATAAATAAGTTTAAAAAACAAGGCAAAATATTAACAAATTACTAAAATCAAACAAATATGCATTTCCACTTTTGCCTCTATATAATAAATGTAATTTGTTATCATCCTTGTTGATATTGTAAGCTTCGATTTCTTCATTAGTTAATTTCAATCTCGGGATAAAACACATTCATATTATTGAATAGACAACCAACAACGACAACCCCATTTCATGTGCTTGTATTTTTCATAGATATGATATTGTATGGCGTGTGTTCCTCCAAATCACTTAATTTTGAATATCTTTTTAATGTACTCTGATCGTTCAACTGTTTCTTTAATTGCTCCATTCTAAAATAAAAAATTAATAAATATTTAACAACTCTAAACATAACTAGTAACCAAAGTCAGTAGAAAACAGTTTAAATGAAAAATATATATAAATGTATTACTTACTTTATTATATATCAAAAGTCATAGAAATTCTTTAGGACAACAAATAGAAATAATCAAACAAATGGTTTTTGGTATAATCGCTTTAGAAAAGATAATGAGTGAATGATCCTGAAATTGATGTGACGTTCTTTTATAGGGGTCAAAGATCTTGTTTAGACAAGTTTTGGTTGGTTTAAACAGGTATTACACAAACAATGTTGGAAATATGCTTAGCTAAGCGTCTGGTAACCAATGATAAAATTCTTAGAAATTATAATGCAACAACGACAGACGTTTTCATTGTTCTCATAAAATGCTGACGCCTATGAGCGTTATAATATAGTACTAATGTCGGAAATATGCTTACCTAAGCGTCTGGTAGGCATTCATAGAAAACGTTATTAATTTAAGTTGGATTCATCCCCACCCATTACAGGTTAGTTTATGTTATGTTTCGTTACCCCCTCCCTCTGTAAGAATTGTTGACGAAGACCTTGTATCGTTAATATTAAGTAAATATGTTATAGTGGCAACGGCGGCCACTATTTGACGTACACTATTTCAATGTAATGTGTATGTTTACACGTACGTTTATCAGTTACCGTTATCAGTTCACATGAGGTTTACCTTACCCTCCAATAGATGACATCGTTTGAAGAGTCAACCATTTCCGAATGGCTACCTCCCCTCACCACTGATATGAAGTAATAGTGCGCACGCGCACTTTAATCCGCCAATTTGATTGACCTTAACACCCCTAAGTTACCTATTAGCCCCACAGTCGAGAAACCACGCCCTCTGTACGACATGCTCCTCTCCAGGCCACGCCCACCCATATACTGGGTGGGTAAAGGGGTGAGGCGGGGGAAACAGAATCCCCAATATTACCCTACTTAGTAAATTTAAGTTTTTAAATTGAAATTTAAAGTGTTTTGGCTTATTTGAGTATTATTTATTTATTTTATTTTAAGTGATTAAATACTTTACATATTCATAAAAGCAATAACAATGTTTTTAGCTTCGATGCGAAGCTGAGAAGGTATTAATTTTACTATGATGTGTTTTTTTTTTTATTTTTATTTTTTTTTTTTGTGTCTGTGAACGCTCAATCTCAGCTCTCGCTGGACCGATTTTGATGAACAATATGTCAAAAGATCACAAATCGTATCTAGTCGAAGACATTACCCTCAAAAATTGAAAAAAATTCCCTCGTTCCCCGTAAACGGGGGAAATCCCCCAAAAAATTACAAATTTAAAAATCGCTAATTTTCGATATTTTTTCAATTTTTTTTACTTAAAATTGCCATAACTTTTTTAAAAATGACCGAATCAATATAATTTTTTTTTTTATAGATACCTTAGATAATTACCTATCATTTTATATATTTTTGTGAACATTTGACCCTTTAACAGCCCAAAGGATGGGGTTTCAAAATGGTAACTTTTTTACAAAAAATTAACTTTTTCAACTTAACTTTTGAAAATGTTCCGGAAAGACTGACAATTTTATATATACCTTAAATTAAAGCTAATGTAATATACTTTAATTTGAAAAAAAAAAATTTGACCTCTGGACTTGTCTTCATGGTGAAAATGACTACCGTATGCAAAAATATGCTATTTTTGTGAAAAAATTCTTGATATTATATTTTACATTTTTTAACATTATGTTGCTATAACTTTTTAAAAAATGCATGAATCAACTTTATTCTTTAATGATAAATACTTTATATATACTTCTTTCATTCGACATACTTTTTTTTAAAATCGGACCATTTCCCTTTATACAGGGGGGGTGCAAACCTTTTAAAATGCGTATAGAAAGTAGAACTTTTTCAACTTAACTTTTGAAAATGTTCCGGAAAGACTGACACTTTTATATATATCTTAAATTAAAGCTTATGTAATATACTTTAATTTGAAAAAAAAAAATTTGACCTCTGGACTTGTCTTCGTGGTGAAAACGGACATCAAAGTTAAAGAAAAACGTACGATTTCCGTGAAAAAAATCTCGATTTTATATGTTATATTATTTAATTTATATTTTATATAACTTTTGGAAAAATGTATGGATCAATATTATTATTTTTTTATAATAAATATTTATATACTCCTTTCATCTACACGCTTTTTTTGTAAATCGGATCATACCCCTTTAACAAGGGGGGTCAAAACTTTAATCATGCGTATTGTTACTATGATATTTTCAATTTAATTTTTGAAAGTATTCCGGAAATACTGACACTTTTATATATATCTTAAATTAAAGCTTATATAATATACTTTAATTTGAAAAAAAAAAATTTGACCTCTGGACTTGTCTTCGTGGTGAAAACGGACATCAAAGTTAAAGAAAAACGTACGATTTCCGTGAAAAAAATCTCGATTTTATATGTTATATTATTTAATTTATATTTTATATAACTTTTGGAAAAATGTATGGATCAATATTATTATTTTTTTATAATAAATATTTATATACTCCTTTCATCTACACGCTTTTTTTGTAAATCGGATCATACCCCTTTAACAAGGGGGGTCAAAACTTTAATCATGCGTATTGTTACTATGATATTTTCAATTTAATTTTTGAAAGTATTCCGGAAATACTGACACTTTTATATATATCTTAAATTAAAGCTTATATAATATACTTTAATTTAAAAAAAAAAATGTGACCTCTGGATTTGTCTTCACGGTAAAAATGACTACCGTATTCAAAAATTTGCTATTTTTGTGTTAAAATTCTGGGTTTTGTATTTTATTTTATTTTAAAATACCTGACAAGGGGACTACAGATTTTCATAAATATTATATAAATAAAAAATTAATATAGCATAGAAAGTTAAACTTATTTAAATTTGTTTGCTTCTTTTAAGTCGAGAAAAATAACTTTGAAATTTGAACTAGCTTAAATAGCCTATTTTTTCACCCGACGGTAGCGACGTACGGTTGCCGAGTTGGTAAAATTTATGTTTTACACGCTTGGGGTACGAGGTTCCAACCCGCGTATGGCAATGAATTTTTTGCATTTTTTCTTAATTCTTTTTAAGTTAGTATAAATTTTAAACTCGTTTGATTTTTATCACATTTAGATTCAATAACTTCAATAAAGATCAAGGATCCCATCACTTTAGTCGCCCCTTGCAAGAAGAAATTTCTTATTCGTATTAAAATTATTTTACTATATTTTAAGTTTTCGCTTCGATGCAAAGCCGAGAAGATATTTTTTTGTGACTATCATTTATTTTCTCTGCTCTAACTTGACCTACTTTTTTCAACA